GGCGGGAGGGAGGGAGGGAGGGAGGGAGGGACAGACGGTGAATGTGTCAGGCTACATTCCATTCCTGGAAACCTGCCCTGCTTCTACCGAGGGAACACTCACTGCCCTCTGCATCCCTCCCTCCCTCCCTCCCTCCCTCGCTCACCCCCTCCACCTCCTCCTTGCTCCTGTAGGCCGTGACCGGGATGCCCTCCACGCCTGACCGCACGTCGATGATGACAAACACAGGGGCGGAGGAGAACCGCCGAAAGACTTCGTCGATCTGAAGGGAGGAAGGGGGGAAGGGTGAGAGGCGTGCACGCGGGCGAAGGGCGTCTGCACCCATACCACCCACCTGGAGATCGTTTTCTTTGATTTTGGGCCCAGTGCTGTAGAACCCGACGATACGCTCTTTGGCTGGCAGGCCAGGAAATGCCCAAGAGGGGAGGGAGGAGGGAAGGAGAGGGTAGAGTCAGGAGGCAAGGCAAGCAGGATGAGAGGAAGCGGGGCAGGTCGGGACGCACCGTTAATCTTCTTGAACATGTAAAACATGCTTTCGAGATAGTTGTGGTCCAGATACCAAACAAGTGGGTTCTTTAAGTCCTCTTCGAAGGGAACTGGGATGGAGGAGGGATAGGGAGGAGGAAATGAGAGCGGGCATCCAGACTCCCCCGCACGCGCGCTGGACAAAACAAGCCCTAAAAATCGATTAAATCAATCCAACGGGATTGCCACGAGATCATGCGACCTTACCTGCAAAGGAGTTTGTGATGTCGATGCGTCCTCTCCATGTGGTGCCCAACAGGACTCCCACGACGCGCTTCCTTGTGTCCTTGGCCACGCGATTGTAGTGATCGACAGTGGATAGGAGAACGAGAGGATGGACGATGACTTCAAGCTAGTGATGTTTTGAGATGGAAAAGGCAAGAGAGGAAATGAACAGAAGGAAAATTGTGAGACGAGATGTTATTGGGGTGGAGCTGGTGGGGGTGTGCGAGAGATATAGGAGGGAAATCTGCCAATTCTGCCACTTGCAACACAAGAGATCGCAAGCATTGACACACACGTCTATGAAACTCCGCCAAGTTCTTTCACCGTACCTCATCAGCGGCAAGATTTGCAGTCGTAACGATTGTCGTCGCTTCCTCCTCGGGCTTCTTGTTATCTCCATTTTTTGGGGCATCTTCCCCCACTCCATCCTTTTTATCCTTCTCTACGTCCATTGGTGCCATATTTGCGTAGAGACTCTGTGACAATGAACTGAAACGTTTAGTGGCGTAGTTGGTGTAGAGAAGGTTTACTGCTCGCTGAAGACGTACTTCTTCGTCGTTCCAACGCCTAGATGGGCGGTCAGGCAAAGGACAACAAACGCTCTAGGTACACTTGCAAGCACGACTCACTCAATCAAAAGAGACTACATGCGTTCATGCATGAATAACTGCGCTGACAGTGGTAGTTGTCAAGGAAAAGGACGGGAACGGGGAAGAATTCTCGGGCGATGACGTGCGATGACGCCCGTTATGTGATGGAATGTGCCCCTTCGATTGCCGGAGTGCAACTTGGTCCGGTGCCCTCCCCGCCACTGGGAACTGACCGCTCCCGCTCTGAATTATGGCTGGATTTTTACTCACATTGCTCGACACATGTCTGTCGGTAACATGTACTCCTGCGTGACTTGCTTCAATAATTTGTTTTGATATTGTGTTCTCTTGCTTCTGCCTATTTCTGACCATACGATACGATCTCCCCATTTCCCTCAAACAAAGGAGGAGGATAGATGATTGGTGCTTCAATATGGCCTAGAGCTCGTGTAGGACGGAGTTCTAGCAGCGCTGTTCGTCCACTCCTCCCCTCTTTCGCGTTTTCTGGCGGATGGATGCATGTTCCCGTTACGATAGGAATGGTACGTAGGCTTTTCCTGCATTTTACGCGCATTATACCGTGCAGGTGGAGACATGTATATCTATTTATCCGCATATGGAAAGACACCTCGCCTCCACTTTCGAAACAATTCTTATCGATGACCCTTTTATAGTTGCGTGGATTTCGTGGTGTGTAGAGCAACGGTTTCTGGTATGAGAAGACCTTCATGGATGTCATCATCGCTCACAAACACACCTTTCTCCTCACCCATCTGCAGCCTACAGCCCCAACTATCCACTGCTACCATGCGACGATCCCACTCTTCGGCCGCAAAGGCGGTGCCTCTGCTCTCAGCCCAAAGAGGAATACGTCTCCCTCCACGCAAAGATGGATGCGCCGAGGAGCTCCCCCATCGAGCAGCACTGGAGGACGTGCTCGTGAAGGACAATTACGAAGACCTTTTCTGCATCCATCACAGCGCACCACGCTGCCCGCGGTAAACGATGCGTCCGAATTGATCGACCCGGATTTTGAGCTGATGATGAGTGAGCTCATGCGTCCAATACCCTCCACGGGCGGAAATGCGTCGTTGCAAGATGGAGGGAAAGAAGGAAGAGAGGGGGCAATAAGCAATGACGAAGTTCTCTCCAAGGAAGAGGCCCTTCGGCGCCTGGACCTAGACAGAAAATATGCCGACATGATGAGGCGGGAGGCGCGGGGCAGCGTGGCGGTGGGGCCCTCTGGCTCGCCTACAGCGCTTCCTTCTCCCTCCCCTTCCTCCCTGGATGCCAACGTTCTCCCTTCTTCCTCCCCTCCTGCTTTCCAATGCGCCATTGCCGAGTACAACCGTCTCCTGCGGGCTTACGGGGTGCAAAATCGCCTCCCCGAGGCCCAGGCACTCCTTCGATCCTTGCTCTCGCGTCAAGCCCCTGTTTCTTCCCAAACCCTCACCGCCTACGTCTACGCGTGCTCCGCCTGCCAACCCCCGGCTCCCGAGGCCGCAGAATCCGAGATGCAGGCCTGGGAGAACAACGGCCTTCCCTCTCCGGACGCCTGGACGTGGGCCACGCTGGTCAGTGCCTACGTTCGCGCCGGTCGACGGGAAGAGGCTTTGGGAACTTTCCAACGGATGAAACTCGCCGGGCACCCGGAGAACCTGGCGGCGTGCACGAGCGTATTGCAAGCCTTGGGTCAAGGGAGGGGGAGGAAAGATCGGGAGGCCATGCTGGATTTCTGGATTGATATGCGGGTGGCGGGGGTGGAGCCCGACGCCGTCGCCTACACAGTGTTGCTGCAAGCCACCTGCGTGTCTACGGGCGACCTGGAGCGAGGCCTGTCGTATTTGGACGAGATGGAGCAACTCTCGGTGCTGCCGACCTTGCATGTTTTCAACACGCTTCTTTTCACGGCGGCGCGAGCTCCCTTGTGGTTTCCAGGCTACAGTGCTCTGCTCTACGAGCTGCTAGCGCGCTTGGAATCGAGCGGATGGGCCCCCGACGCCGTGACGTATCAAGGCCTGGTCCGCATCTGTGCACAGGCCGGGAACCCGCTCTTGGCGGAGCGGTACATTGAGCGGATGCAGGAGGAAGGGTGGGGGGTAACAAGGGGAGTGTACCACGAATACCTCCGGGCATTGGGGAGAGGGCAGTCGGCAGGAGTGAAAGGGGGGGGGATCCCAAAGGTGACAGGGATGGAGAAGGAGCCGGAAAGGGAGATGGATGATGAGGAAATCGACCTACGGGCTCGGTCCCGGCGGCGGTTGCCAGGGCAGGGGAAACGGGTGCGACGGGCAGAGAAGTTGCTGGAGGCCCTGCGGCAGGGAGGGAAGGAGGGCGGGAAGGAGGGCGGGAGAGAGGGAAGGGAGGTGCAGGGGCCCCAAAGGAAGGTAGACGCCTCGTCCCTTTTGATGAGTTACGACGGCGGGGAAGAGGATGCCGGGGGCCGGGAAAAAGAGGAGGATGCGACAGGGAAGGATGCTGATAAATCCATAAATCCTGGGGGCAGCCTGCTGCCCACCGAGGTGGAAACCATGCGGGGCCACGACAGCGACCACTTGGTGCTTCAGGGAGGCTTGTTGCAAAGGTTTCCCTCCGAGCGGGCTCGGATCCAGTTGGAGGGGCTCTTGCCCTTTGCAGAGGGCGTGCGCGAGGTCGACTGGGTGCGGTCCCGGATACCCGGAGGGGTGACCGTGAAGGACATGCAGGAAAAATACATTCAAGCCGCGGATGCCGTCCTTCGTGCGATGGAACAACGGGGCTTGACACCGACGACGGAGACGATGAATTTGTATTTAAGTGTGTACACGGAGGGGTTGCGCATTCAACGGGCCTGGGGTGTGTGGCGGGAGCGGTTCGAGGTCGGGGGGGAGGGAAGGCAGGAGGAGGGGGACGCAGGGAAGACGTCAAAAGAGGGGACGGTCGCACTGGATAAAGTTCGAGCGGATCAGTCCACATATTATTATTTAG